TAATTTGAATTTTATGCAGAGATAGGCCTGGTTTTGTGTTAATAAAGATAGAAGTTTATTGAAGCTCCACAGATTCATGAGTTTCCATTCACTAGGTAAACCAATTGTGCAGCAGCCAGTTTTACTACACGAAGGCCAAGAAATCAGTAGAGAGAGAGTTTTCAACCTACGGCTTACTGATTCTTAAACAACTGTCTTCAATGAAAAGTACAATTTATATTTAATATGCATAGGCGTGGAGAGGTTCAAAAATGTACATCTTTATTCATAATAATTTAAAAATACTTATTTTTGAGTTTTCTTCATTTTGTAATTTTTGTTTTGGAAATGCTATGGCACCATTTCGTTGGTAAAACTTCTCGTGGTTCATGATCTTTAATAGCAGTGAGTAAGTTGCAAGCGAACTTTGTGAGCATAAATATCTTAAAGCATCAGATCAAATGTAGAATAACGACGAAATAATTGCCCAAGTTGTCTAGTGGACAATGCTTTGGCGTTTGAGACGACGGGCACTGGTTTCAAGCCTCGGTGGGAACATCATCACTCTCTGGTGAATGCAGGTACATCTAGCTGACAAGACTCCAATAGGATGAAATGCGCATCTTGCATCCCACTACTAGTCACCGTCCACCAATTGAATTCAAGAAATACCGTTCTTTTTGTTGGCGACAAAAAGGATCCACACGTTAGGAGAAGCAAGATTATGTAGTATCGATTACACGTTATGGTAATTCTGTGTCAACAAGGTCTATATATCTGTCTATCTATTGGTTCCGACCATTTTTGCTGAATAGTTGTTCTTCTGTCACCGTTATATCTGTAATGCACTTTGCAATCGAGAATACTAAGGATAAACCACATTTTGGCATTTTGGAGAGTACATTATCGATAAATATATCACTGTTTAATTCATTCTGATAGTTTTTATAGAATTTGAAATGCTATATGAATTAATAAGTTAAAAGTATTTAAAAGCCTAGTCGTTGTCAACACTATGCGATGAAACCTAAAGGCACAAATGAAACAATTTTCTGATAATATTTTTATGTAGTCGTCTATTCTTTCAGCCCACAATCCACTGAATTTTCTATCTTCTCCACTGTTCATTTCCGTGTTACTCATGGACTCAAGTGTAGGTTGTTTGTGAAAAGTGCATATGTAGGAAAAGAGTAAAGGCATAACGACGCTACATTTCCTCTGTAGTTATTTTCTACTTTAAAAAAAAGAGTATTAAATGCTCTATAGTTTTTTTATTCCTTTACGTCCCCAGTGGAACATGGGGCTTCAAGCTAGAGGCCTGGAGTTTCGGTAGCAGTGGTGTTTATTTTTACGGGATGGGGTTTCTAGTCTCATTCCCAACCTTCTTTTCTTACCAGTCTTATTAATGGCTTAGCGAGGTAAAGGAAAGCGTCAGTGGCCGGGGATTGAACCCCGAATCACCTACGTGGTTGGCGAGCATTCTACCGCTGTGCCACCAACGTGCAACGATCTATATTATGAATTGGAAATTTTCATTTCATTGCAGTGAACTATTGTATTCTCCTGTTCATAAATAAGTGCTAATTATTATCATCACAGTATTCTATTAATACATAACAAAAAAATAAATTGGTGGATGGTTACTAGCAGTACAATCCAGAATGCGCATTTCGTCCTATTTGGGGTTCGTCACTGAATGTACCCGCATTCCCAAGTGAGTCAGTGATAATGTTCCCACTAAGGTCCGAACCCAGTACTCATCGTTTCAAATGCCAAAGCATTACCCACTAGACCACTTGAGCCACGAGAACCACCTGACGCCTATTCCGCAAGAGGGATGTCCTTGTGACCCATGTGGTCTAGTGGATAATGCTTTGGCATTTGAAACGATGAGTACTGGGTTCGGACCTTAGTGGGAACATTATCACTGACTAACTTGCGAATACGGGTACATTCAAATGACGAGTCCCAAACAGGACGACTTGAGCATTGTGGATTCTACTGCTAGTCAACGTCTGCCAATCTACTTCATCTTAAATAATCAGACATGGTCAAAGCATCTGCACAAGGAGCCGACTTGTCAACCAGAGGCCGACAATTTCTGTCCAACCAATCAACCGGAAAGTTCAAACTGAGTTAAGTAATAACAGAAAGTAATTCGAAAATAACAATCAATTTATTTCAAAATACTGTCTGGTTAACGAGGAATATTCTTTTCGACATCTGAATAAAGGTGTAATGAAAGGCGTCAACAGTTTGACTTCAGCACATCTAATCCAAACAGATCACAAAGATGATAGTGAATAACCCTATTCTATGTCTATCGTGTACCTTATGAACTTCCAGAAACCATCAGGTACCGAATTCTCTAAACGGTAGAAACCACTGCAGTCAGTATGAAACAGATGGTGATTTGTATTGAAAAGAATCAAGTCCAACCTTTATTTATTTATTTTTCCTTCACGTTCCCCAGTGGAACATAGGGCTTCAAGCTAGTGGCTTGAAGTTTCTGTAGCAGTGTTTATTTTACAGGATGGGGTTGCTAGCCTCATGCCCAACCTTTCCTCTTCACCAGCATTATTTCTGGCTTAGCGAGGTAAAGGAGTGCGTCGACCGAGGATCGAACTCCGGACCATGTGCATGGTCAGCGAGCGTCCTAACCGCTATGCCACCGACGCTAACTGCAACATTGAAGGAATTCATGTCCCTTCTGAGATTCGAACCCGCGTCACCCAGTGCTGCAGTCAGAGACATTACCACTGAGCTATTCAGGCTTTTTGCTACCCTATAATGCTGTGGAATTCATAAATTCTTAAATACCGTAATACGTCATTTCTTTTATATATGACCTTCCGTCATGTATGTACAAATTCCTCACCCCCTTATTTGTTATATCTTTCAATGAAATGTATCTACTGTTAGATTCTCGTCAGGAACTAACATCATTTAGAGCGATCATTGAGAACCAGGGAGCACTGGGCAATTGTTTCGCCCTATTCTGGGACTCCTCAACAGTGCGCTCCCACGACCCAACCAGGAATCGGACCCATGACCTTCAGATTACGAGATTAGGCTCGTTGTCTATTCAGCCACTTGACCTGAAATTCAATAACCCCTGAGTTCTAGCTTTGTCAAATCGTGATACAGTGCTGCTTTCACTAATGCCTTAATCTTGACATGATGAACCTCAGTGGTCGCGACTTCCCTCTGAAGCTTCAGGAAATTCATCCAGTAGTCATCAGTGAGCTGGTGATTGACATACGACTGAAGAGATCACTGAAAACCATGGAGAGCTGTTTGGTTCATGGCGAAAATCTAACCGTTGAAATTAATCCAAAATTCCCACAAATCTTATCATGTGAAAATTTACCTAATTCATTCATCATTGAAACTTTATGCTTGTACGAACAAATTTTGGTTTTCTTAATTTCTTCTTGGTTATTCACTGACACGCTGATATAGACAAATAACCTTCTACCTTATTTCCTCGCTCTGCTTTTGAAGTTCATAATCAAACTGAATAAAATATAAACTGAACACTAATCATGAGCGTTCACTATTATATATAAGGAAAATAGAAACATTTGTGTGACCACTACCAGTTAATCCTTAAGTAATATGAATATATAACTGTAGTGACTGAGTAATTTATGGAAAAGAATATTCTTCGTTCACTCACGAATATACAGAAATTTTTATATTGGGCATTTTTAAACAATTATAACTTAGGTTTATTCAGACAAAGTAATAAGAAGATGTCATTTCTCTCAATCCTGTAATATATTTGCGCGTACAACACATTTCGAACAATCTGATCACACATGGACTTGTCATAGGAACACATATCCAAATAATACGAAGTTAAGGGGTGAGAAAATAGACTTAGGTCAAGTTAAAAGGATATGTTAAAGGTCAAAATAATAATGAAGATCACTAAACCAAATAACAAAGGTAGTAGTGCATCTGCTCTGGCATCGAAACAAAATTTACCAAGGAAGATTTAATGTGATGACAGATTGTTTTTGAACGCATAAAGGCGGTTTAAACTTCCACATTGCCAGCTGGGCTTCCACAAACTCTCCAAACACGTTTTATAGACAGGATTAAAAGATGTGTAAAAGCAGTTCTATGTCCTGTCTCTTTAATAAGTTTCGCAACAGAGGAGCTAGGTCTCCTGTTCTCACCATTAATGGATTCTGAGGATTCTATTTGCTTCTAGAGCCATCTAGGAATATGCTCTGAAGCCCTTACTCGCAGAGATTGGTGAGTACTCGCTAAGTATGTGTGTATTTTAACACAAGAAACATCTGTTAAATAGTTACTAAAGTTTAGTTAATTTGGAGCTAACCAATCTTAGTCCAAACTTAAGAGTTAAACAAAGGCAGTTTGTTAGCATGATAAGTATGTCCACATGCTCGAACCTTTTCACTCAATTGTCTCTAGATGACAAGATACCTGTGGTGAGAGATGTCTTTTATTTCGACATTGACCACATGTTAGGGGGACTTTTAATTCCAAATTTCGAACATACAATTCCATCTCCTTTTTTAACCAATAGGATTGTGGCTGTCTTGTTAATTTTTCTAAGTTTGGCCAATAGAAATCAACATTTTCTCTGGGATGTTTTACAGACTTGTTGGGATAGAGACGTAAATACGACTGTCATTTGTCCAATGAAAGCCAGGTATACTCCTCAAGACTAACACTAGGCGTATTTTTAGTTGTTCGTGTGATTGACACACCAATCTCGTCTGAAATTCATATACCTTATACATATATGCGTAGAGTTCATCGTAAATCATTGATGGCCAAGGCCATTAACTTATCATCTCTGATTGGACATAGTTCACGTGAAATTCACCTGCCTACGTACAATCGATTAACAATATTTCGTTGCTAGCCAACACACACAATGTTCAATTTTTCCAAAACATGTTTTTACCCTGTTATATAAATTTATTTAACACTATTCATTTATTTGATGTAATTACCAAACTGAAAGTCACAATCTATTTTTACAGCTTGAAGAATTAGAAGTTGTATCCTCGAAACAAACTATTCCTCCACCGTGGTTATCTGGATTTAATAAATCTGAAAGTACCTCATCACATGTAAATAGTCAAAAGGGATCTGATCAGTCTGCAGTATTTACAAGTTCTGAATTATCTATCAGTATGATTGAACCAGATCAAGTAAATACACGATCATCAGTTGGTGGACAACAACAAAATATCCCTGACAGTTTAACTGTTTATTCAGTATTTTCAAATCCTACTGAAGAATATGAAAGTCGGACTAATCTACTGATTAATTTACTCGGGGAATTAAATCTACTATCACAGATAGTCTTATGTAGAGAAAATGAACATGAATCACACACTTATGATGTTCATGAGATATGTAAGAGTATTCTGAACGGATTAACGGAATTACTAAACGAAGAAGAAGATGAAGAAGACATTTGTGATCAAGAGTTTTCATTACCGTCACAATCTGCAGAACAAAAGGATCAAATAAATGTGGTATGTTAGTTGAATTATATATAATAACTTTGAATCAATAAATCAATACAAAAAAATGGGTTCTAAGGTGAAGTCAAACTATAGCAGCCACCCCGATCGACCTTACAACCAACCTAAAGAAACTAATCAGAATTAAGGAGCAATAAAGATAACAAAACTGTCGGAAGCATAACTATTGATTATAGTGTTCTCATATCCGTCTATACTTCAAATCCTGTCCTGTAATCTTCTCCTAAGTCCACTCCATCAGAAGAATAGACCGTACATTACATGCATGTTTTGGAGAAGTTAAACTATAGCGTCCGAAGGAATTCAAACGCTTCAGTGACCTTGAACGCATGCTAGTCGTTGGCTAAGGACGCTTGTCATTATTATAGCGCAAATATGAACGCTATTCACCAGCTAAGGAGCAAATTTAACCCAGAACAAGTTTTTAAGTACTATTTGGACAATGTATTAATAGCTCATTAGGGTTAGGATAAGGGTCATAATTAGGGCTAGGATTAAGGTTAGGGTTACGATTAGGGATAGTTTTAGAGTTGGTATTATTTACTTATTTAATTTGTTTTATTATCCACGTTTTCCTGGTAAGTAGTCGTCGATCCTCTTACTGGAAACCATAGCAATTCAAACGAAGGGTTTTGGTGAAGACCAAAACAGGATAAGAGCGATAAATGGATTACAAAAATGCTCACCTTAAATCACCTCAGTGAATACATGTACGGAAACTGGTCTAACTTAAAAACTGATACTCCTCATTATAGCTGGGACGCATTTTTAAATCATGTCAGGGAAAGATACCTGTTTATGTGTTTTCATGCATTTTCCTGTAAATAAACGTCATTTTTAATGTAAAAATCACTTATTTTGGTTGGTCAGTTCAAGGCCACTCGTTCGTTCGCATTCCTTGGGACGCTGTAGTCTAACTTTGCCCATGTTTTATAAACTCCAGTCCACTATTCACACAATATCCAAATGCTCAACCCTCACATAGCTACTTTAGCAAATCCAGAACACAAGCAATAATTTAATTTGATTAAACACATAAATCTAATTGGATTTCGAAGGTCATGTACCGGGGTGACTGCTATAGTGTAATTCCATATTCCAAGTTTATTTTAAATATCACTGTAAAATCTTGCTTCTGTTAGATACTAGCATATATGGGAAACTGGTACACTAATAAATTAAAAATAGACTTTAATTCATCCCATCCAGAATCGGTAAGGGTGGCTTTAGTTAAATCTCTATATCATTACGCCAAGAGCCTTACTAGTAAGTTAGAGGATTTAAATAATGAAATCAAACAAATAAAGGAAATATTACTAGTGAATAACAATCCACCAGAGTTTATTCAGAAATATGTGGAGAACCATAGGAAAAATAAGATTAGTAATAAAAATGAAAATAACGAAAATAATATAGAATTCACAGCCTCTGAAGTACTGCCGTATAGAGAAGGAACGGCATAGGCCTTACGTAGGATTCTCAGTGAGGCTGCACTTAGAGTGGTATTTAAACCACTCAACCAACCAACTGTCTCAGAGATAAACTTTGTCTGCTGAAAGACCCAATAGATCCAATTAAGAAAAATAATATAATTTACCAAACACCGTGCAGTGAATGTGAGGTCAACTACATGGGTCAAACGAGTGTTGGCTCAGGGTCAACTAGGTTACTGGAACATAAAAACTTAGCTAGCGATCGGAATGACTCAGCGCCTATACCGGAGATATGGAAAGTGGCAACAAACAACAAGGGGAAGTTAGAGGGAGAGACAAAGAGAGGAAAAATTTATAAGACAAGTTGTGAAACGGTGTGACTAAAGTGATATGATTATGAGCAATAATTTATGCTCGAAACGTCATCCAGTTATTAACACTGTTTCCCTGTGTGATATTTAAAATCAACTTGGAATATGGAATTACATTCTATCACAGTGCACAAGTTCTACACTTACATTGATGCTATAGTGTAACGTCTCCGGGTTTAGTAAGATAAAAGTGTATCGATCGATTCATCTTTAGACTGCTCGTAAAAGCAATGAGCACAGTAATTCTGTACTCTTTTCTCCCATTACGAAGGTATATTTCGTGTGTAAACACAAGTAGCTCCCAAACTTGTCGTATAAACTTTTCGCTTGTAAACGAAGCACTGGAAAGGTTGTGAAAATTCCCTGGACCTTGATGATTGTTTTAAGGGAAATCTAAAAAGGATGAATTCCCAGGATTTGATATGTCATCATACTTGTCACACTTTCGATACACAACCCACATGCAATTAAATATTATAGACACTGAGAAAGCTAAAGCTTTGATTTCTTTGATAACATCCTGGCAGCTTTAGATTTCGAGGAATCCAAACTTAAGTCTTACTGTAATGTAAAACAGGTATAATGGGATTTTGATGGATGTCAATACTGAGTTAATCGTTCTCCCAATCCGGCAACAGTTTTATTTTAATTCCTTAGCGTTCCATGTGGAAGATATGGATTCGAATTTGAGCTTTGGAGTTGTAGTAGCAGTGGGGCTGTCATTCTACGGGGTGAGGTTGCTAACCCTCCCTAAGCGAGGTTAAGGAGTGCATCGGTCGAAAATCGAATCCCGGACCACATCAGTGGTTGGCGAGCGTTCTACCTCTGAACCATCAATGCGCGTACACCTATAGTATCTATTAAATTACTTATTATAATCCAATGTTTATCAGACTTCTGTTCATCTGGTAAAAACAATAATCTCATATTGAAAATAAAAATTAGAAATTTGTTTTTAATAAAATAATATTGTTAATTGGACTTTATGTAGAATAATGTTTTGTATTCACTATGCCATTATTGATTCTTATTAGATGAAGTATGTTAAACGTTTCTTGAATAGGATGTGATGTAATAAGTATTATACGTCGTAGTTAGTTGAAGAGAACCGTTGGAATAGAATGAATCCGCGTTATTCTGCTCGAGTGTTCTTCATCAGTCCCAAGATTACTGTTCATACGAAACAGTGTGATAATAAAATCTACTTTGTGTGGCGAATTTCTACAGTTATATAGAAGGGTTTACTTATACGCTTAGCTCTGGAAACCGCTTATTCAGGTACCAAGTTGTAGTACTTTTAAACAAATCATAAGTATGTACCAAATGCAGGAGATGGAGGTTACATATTCATACTTTGTTTGAAAGACTCATTTGTACTTGATGAACAAAGTGTGTAGTTGTGTACAGTTCAGTAGAGAAAAGACTAAATTGTTGTACATTGTTTTTTTGAGGAAAGATTCTATTTTTAGGCTACTGACTAATTAATTTCTCCCAAGGTAATTTAAGTCCTGAGGAAATTCAAGTTTTGTCTAAGTTCAAGGATTAGTTAGAATTTATTCTCCTAGTCATTCGATATGTATTATATCTTCTTGGGTAAGGAATTCCAAACGTATCTGGAAACGCTTAACCTCATGGTTATGTCGTGAATTGGCAGAAGTTAGAATTCAAGGACCATTGTATCGGGTCCCAGTGGCTCAATGGTCTACGAGCTCGCTTTGTAACCAGAAGGTCCTGGGTTCGAATCCCGGTGGGTGCGCTCTACTGAAGAGTCACAAATTAGGATGAAACAGCTGTCCAGTACTCCCAGGTTTTCCAGTGGTTCTCTAACTGATGTCAGCTCATGAAGAAATCCTCCATGCAACCAAACAAAATCCCTACAAAACCAATACTTGAAAATTTATTTAATTTTATCTTAGTTTCTACCCGATTCACATCTTTATATTGCGTAATTTGTTATCTAAGGTTTACAATCCTTATGACACATCTTTGGAAATATTCCTTTTGTTGCTAAGAGAATTTATTGTATATATGTATATGTATATATATGCGATCGTACAGCTTAAGAACGATATCTCTGAAAAGGTTAACTCTTCACTGAACGTCTTTTCCCTTATAGATGCATAAAAAGTGGATTGTACAAGTATTTTAATAGTATAGTCATTTTTCTGTTGATAAGTATCTTGCAACGATGTATTTACCAGTTATTGCCTTGAACTATACTATTTATTGCTAATTCCCATTTTGATTTATAAATTTCGATGATAAGCTTTCTGTTGTATTATTTAATAGGCGTCTATGAATAATAATACAGTGGTTACTACTGGGAAACGAAACGATGTATCAGAGATATGTGTCCCACTACCGAGTGTCTGTCGTGTCAAGTCCCCAATACGCCTATTGGTGTTCTATTTTGAAATTTTATCAGAGCTAATGGAATTGAAAGATCATGAAAATAAGGTGAGACTATTTTTCTTTTTTCCTCAGTGTTATAGTAATTTATGTTATTCTGATATTGTTTAAAATATGCGTGTATTTCTTAAGGCTGTATGTGATTCGTAGTAGACTGAAGAGGCTAGAAACGATTGTTTGCTTTGTTTATCTAATAAGTTAGCCAGATTATGTGTCTTTAGTTTATTTTTGCTGAGAAAAATGAATTATAAGTGGAATGAAAGAATTCCTACGGTATTTCGAAGAAATTGTTAACAAGTTAGTTGAACTCTTAATACTATTGTAACAACAAAAGGCAAGGTACGAAAGCCAAGGTATTCTCTTGCTAGCGTAGTATTGAACTGTGGGTATTATTCGGTTCGATTTTCTTGTTGCTGGCGGCTTTGTTAGTTTGTCTTACTGTATCGAGTTTTGGAGCTCACTGACGTTCACCCGCTTCTCTTCGTTCGCATTTCTGATCATATATACGTGCCCCGTCTCATGATGACCATGTATGGTCCTTCCCACTTTGGAATCAGTTTGCGTGACCCTGGCGCGCATTCGCTGGTGTTTCACCTCACACTATCATATGCTGCCTTCGCCCGACCTCCCAGCAGCGTTCCAAGTAACAGCCTCATGGCTGACGGATCTTGAACGCCACTCAACTGCGCAACAGCCTCGAAGTCCTGCCAGAAGATCCATATGTCTCCGTCAAAAACTGCAGGGCATAGGCTTTCCATTTGTCGGCAGGCAGCGACACCAAATGTAACAACAAAAGGCAAGACACGGAAGCCAAGGTATTCTCTTGCTAGCGCAGTACTGAACTGTAGGAATAATATTCTGACTCCAGCAACAAACAGAATGTTCAAATGGATGCATCTTATTCTGTTGCTAATGCTGTATTGAACCGTGGGAATATGTGAGAATAATATTCCGTTGGAACACATTGTCTGTATCACACCACCACAATATAACTTCAGTATTCCTGGTTGAGGTATTTAGGTTTACTAATATTCGTTATTAGACATTGAACAGCACAGGTGAATATCGATCATACAAACTTAGAATAATCCATTCTGCATATTACTGTAACTAACATGCCTTATTTATGCCATAATGTCATATGTATTCATTATTGCTGTTACTATTATTTCTGTTTCATATATTTGCTTATAGAACCTTGTTGTGTTAATTCCACATTTTGTTGAAATATTAGTTTTCGTATTCCCCCTCCTGGCTTATATCTGTGTTGTTCTCCTCGTGTTATACACTATTCCGTGTTATATGCTTGATTTTCTATGAAACTATATGCCACATCATTTCGACGCTTGTCAGATTCTTGTAGATATAGGTTGACAGTCAACTATGCGAGTGATTATATCACAAATGGCATTCTAATAAAACGAACAGTCAGAATATAGAGACACTCGACCGTGAATGGAATGTAAGTATATATATATATATATATATATATATATATATATATATATATATGCTTACATTTATGGCTTATTGATGACTTTATATGACACATTTAGAAGTGATTAGACTACTTAGTCCCATCATTGTATATATTACCTTTCGTTACACTAAAGACAATAACCATGATAAAACGAGTTGATAACGAGTAAGCTTATAGATATAATAGAGAAGATTTGTAGCTCAGGTGGATGATTTTGGGGTGGTTGTGTTCTCTGAGCTGGATGGTTTGGTTGCGAAGCTTTCATTGCTCTACTGAGCAACATCTTCAGCGCATACTTCGATGTGAAGTGAGCTTTTAGAATTCTCTATGAGTTTATTAGTCATCTCTTCTAGTGACCCTGAACGTGATTGGTTGTTTTCGTGTGACATTTCACCCCCTAGTTTGCTTGTCTCGGTGCTGGCTGCTTCTTTGGTCTGAATGTCGTTAGTCATTCCTTCTGCTAACCTTGAACGTGATTGGTTGTTTTCGTGTGACTTCTCACTTCCTAGTTCACTTGTTTTGGTGTTGACTGTTTCCTTGACCTGAAGTTTGACTTTGTTTTTGTGTGAATTTCTTCGTATGGATTGGTATATTTTGTCAATCTCTATGTGTCTATTGATTGCCGATTCATTTGAATACCAGGCCTCTAGGAATTCTCTGGCATTTTTGCAGTTCCCTTTGTCTAAGATTTGAACATTGTCCCAGTCGAATTGGTGCCCGTGGTTGTCTGCAATCAACCAATCACGTTCAGGGTCACTAGAAGAGATGACTAATAAACTCATAGAGAATTCTAAAAGCTCACTTCACATCGAAGTATGCGCTGAAGATGTTGCTCAGTAGAGCAATGAAAGCTTCGCAACCAAACCATCCAGCTCAGAGAACACAACCACCCCAAAAAGAGTAAGCTTATCGAAAGTAATAGAATAGATCAATAATGTAGACTAAAAATCTCTTTCTATACATTTTATACCTACTTCTCTTGTCACTATAGACGTTGACACTTGATTGTATTTTGATAATTTACTACTTTTATTGATCTGCATCCTTGTAAAGCTATGTTGACTGAAACTTATTTATCCTCATCGTATTCCAGCTGCCTTCGTATTCTATTCCTTACTGTCTTCATTGTTATTCTTCTATGTGAATAGGTTTGACGAGTCGATACAGTCTTAAACTGACCTTCATTAAAGTCAATTATATTATTTTTTATTTCTTTTTAAATTTTGATTACAGCTTGATGCCACACTGTATTTTCAGTACAAGTATGGAATTTTCAGCATGGATATCGGTAGCCCAAATTTTGCAGGCCGACCATAGATATCGGGTGTGCGTCGGTATGGGTTCGAACCCCGGACCATGTGCATGGTCGGTGAGAGTCCTAACCACTGTGCCACCGACGCACAATTACTAAGCATTTACAATTTACTTTGCAACTTTTCATTATCAACTTACAATGGTATAAGGCAACTGAGTGACGTACTTGAAATTCTAAAGGTATCACTATACCCGGTGATGAAAGATCCACGATCATATATATCAAAACTGAAGAAATGCTAAATAATTTTCAAGATCCGATTGCTAAAATATTCTTTTATCTCTATTGTCAGCTCATGATATTCTATGGAGTGTTAACTTCATTGATCTTGACATTCCACTCTCAATCGATGATTCACCGTTTCGAACCCTTATACACCCTTCAAGATCAAGACAGTTGGCCAGTACAACTAGCCTCTCTAACACAAAGAAAGAATACGGCTTATTGGGGTTAGCGCATTAACATACAACGGGTTACTGAAAGTTATAACTGAGGTGTATACTTCAAGTGTGTGGCAAATACTTTCCATTAACAGATCGATGATATCCTTCAAGACTGTTTCAAAAATGAGACTGATTTACAGATAAATATTTAGGAAAATTGACTTTTAAAAAATACTGTTTTATATATAGGACGTTGTCACTGTCGTGATCCATTGTCACGACGTTTTAATTGTCTATTTTGTCGATTTCATTTTGTGAATTGATAGCCATCAATGCTTGTTTGAACGCGCTGTTGTTATTATTATTATTATTGTTGTGTATTTTCTTCTTTCTTGCTCATTCACGTTTTGCTATTCTCTAATAACTTTAGTCTAAACCTATGCCTTTACTACTTTTCTTTTGCTCATACTGTGTTTATTGTTGTTTTATCTTTGTTCATACTCTCTCTCTCTCCATGTCTTTCAATGAATAAATGATTGAAGTGGCTTGGTTATAGATTTTCTGTTATTTATTGTTGAGTTTCATCCTTTTTTTTCACTCTCAATTTCACAAGCTTTAACTTATTAGCCTCACTCAATTCGAATGTAAATCGATAAGATCAGATGATGGTGATGATGATGATCATGTTGGTGATGATAAGTGACGCTTTCTGAACGTAATAACTATGTCTTGCTTGTGCTTTATTCTCTAACCTTTTCTCTCTTTTTCTGTCTTTGTCGCTTTTTGATGATTGCTTTCATGTGGCATTTTTGTCTAGTAATGATTAAAATAGTGGAGATCGTGAAAAAAAGAAGAGAAGAAACACACAACTAAAATCTATGACATAACTCAATATGTGGTTATTTTAGCTGATTACAAAATCTAATCAGTATTATTTCCATGTGTTAAATTGTAATAAAAAGGCTGAATGCATATAAGTGATTAAAAAATCAATTCTTGAGTTGGTAAGAGACTGAAGCATTCGTTTGTCGTTATACTGAAGAAGACTGTTACTACCACTGTTATTGTGATTCCCATGATTTCCGAGTGGAACATAGGGATCCAACAGCACATCTCCATTTCATCCAGTTCTCTGTTGTTCTTTTCACCTGACTACGCAATTATCATGTCATCCTCGTAACCACGACCAACTTGTCGTTTGCCACTCCGATTCCACTCGATGGCTTACCTAGCACGTGATGTCGCTCAACGGTCTCCTCAGCGTGTGTCCGATCTATCTCCATTTCCTTCTGCTCATTTTGTTTTGGGCAATCGGTTGTTGGTTGTTTCGTTCCCAGAGTTCGTTGTTGCTAATTCTTTCTGGCCATCTGATAGTCAGTGTGAAGCCACCTAAGGCAGCTGTTGATTGATAGAAGTTTGAAGCCTGTTGAAAATGATTTCCGTGACACGCCAATTCTCTGAACCATACAGAATCAATGACTGACATGACATTATTTTTGGAAATCCGAATATTGTTGTCTATGCTTAGTTCAGTGGATTTTCACACTGATTCAAATTAGTGAGGGTTTGTCATGACTTTCTGAACCTGCCTTTGATATTCCCATCCGTGCCGTCTGTTGTCGAGACGATGCTACCTAGATAAATGAAAGGAGTGATTTACTTCAAATTCTTCCCAGGGATGGAGATTGGCGGTTGTCGCTGTTGGTGGGTGCGTATCCTCATCACCTCTGTCTTTTCTGTGTTCACTTGAAGTCTTATCTTTGCTGCTTCTGTCAATGTGTTGATTTTCGACTGTAGGTCTTCGAGTTTGTATGACATTAGACATAAGCCGTCCGTGAAGTCCAAATCTTCCAGAGTCTTCTTATTGGTC